GCTTGTACCCTATATAAACTATAAGATAGCCTCTTTTGGGCTTGTTTAACCTGCCTCCATACCCTTTATAACCCCTATTTCGTTCCTTAGCCTTACTGTGGTATTTTGGAGCTTTTATGAGTCTTTTGGTGGGTGTTGTGCATCTTGATGTGGTAAAAGAATAAGCTTGGAGAATCATTAGTTGGAAGAGAGCCTGATCTAGCTTTAGGACCTTCATTTCATGGCTTTTGAGGTCTAAAGTTCAAATCTGGTCGTCTCATTTCATAGATCTATTCCTTGGCTTGTTTTGGAAATTTTAGGTCCCTTTGGTTGGTAATTGTGAGCTAAGGTTGTTTTTGGAGCTTATCCTTCTAGATCTTGACGTATTAATGGTATCCTAAGCATAAATGTGGAAACTTTATGGTGGTTTTGGATCTCACGCATGTGTTAAGTCATTTATAAATCTATTTTGAGCTCTAAAGCCCCATTAAGCCATGCATGCATGTAATGTTGTCAACTTTACGTAATAAACCACTTTAAGGAAGTCATATCTGATTTTAGGTTGAAGTCTTAATCGGTTAAGAGTTGAATATGGGAAGTTGGTGAAGTTGGTGGAGTATGTTAAGCGTACAAGTAGGTACACTGTGCATACAAGCCCTTAAGCATATATGATGAGCGTACGAGCTGAGTACACCCCATGTACTCAATCGATTGGGCTTCAGTCTTTTTGGGCTCTCGGTTTGGGAAATGTTGGGCTTGGTTGTCTTGGGCCTTGTTTGGCCATTAGAATTCTATTTTTGGGCTTTTGGGATTTTATTGGACTTTCTTGGGTGAAGGCCTATGAAAAGGATTGCTTAATTTCGAAAATCGGCCCATATTTGGGCTTTGGGTGATTATTTTAGAATTTAGGATTTTTGGACAATTGGATTGGGCCTTATCCTTGGGCCAACTTCAGGAAAGGGTAAAAAGGTCTTTTACCCTAATTTGAACTCTTAGTGTGAGTGGGGATCCAAATATGTGGATGTTATTTTGTGATTGATAGCACAAAGATTTTTACGTATCTGCAGCTAGTGATTTATCTGTGGGTTTCAGCTATCTGAGGTGAGTCTCCTCACTGTACTACGGATTGAAGGCTCCAATGTCGACTGATTGGCTTATCTATTATTGGAAGACTAATGGGTGGCCTTTAAAATTGTATGAAAGACCCGAAGGTGGCTCCTAGCAAATTTGTGGGCAAGACCAGGGTTTGGACCATGGCAGTTAAGTAGATTGTTAGTTGTAGTTTGTATGCTTGTTGTCTTTGTGATGCTTGCATGGAAGACCAAGAGGTGGTTCTTGGCACTTGTCTGTAAAACATAGGGTTTTGGTCTTGGCTTGGTAAGGAAAGACCATGATATGGCTTGTGGCATAATGGCAAGACTATGGTTGACACATGACATTCTCTATCGTATGTATGGTATGCGACATTTTTAGGAACTCACTAAGCTTTATGTTTACGGTTTATTGTTTATGGTTTCAGGTACTTCCGGTTCAAAGGGGAAGTGTCCGGCTTGATCATAACACATACACCCATGTTTTTCCGTAACATTGTGATTTTGGGATTGTACTCTGATAACTTTCTTATAATGAATTACTTCTAAATGTTTTAGTAAAAGATAAATGGGTGCTTTGATGGTATTGTTGAGTATTTAGTTGTTGCGTCATTGGGCTTTGTAATTAGTCTGTTTTGTAAATGAGTTGGGCTTGTCCTCCCGTACTTAATTCTAGGGTTAGAGTATATATGGTGCATGCATGCATCTTATTTTAGTCGACTCTTTTATTAATCTTGTAACCCTAACACACCTCTACAATTGAAATTCTTCATCGAGTTCGGCTGAGGCGTGACTTTTAATCATTCAACATCTATTTGATTATTATTGTCTTATTGCTATACCTATTTGAATCTTATCGATCTTTAAGATTTTAATCTCTACAATTGGTATCAGAGCAAGAGACTGTGTAATCTATATGCATCTCTTCTGTTAAAAGAAGCTATTAGGGTTTCCGATGATATTAGATCTTTTTTAGTCTTCATCTCTATGTTCTTGACGTTGTTATTGGGATATCAATATTACCCTAAGTTTTTACATGTCTTATTTTGAAACAGGTTTCGAAGATCATGTTAAAATGTCGCACGAAGTCCCGCACAAAAATTCCATCAGTGGTATTGGATCTACAACAAGGATTCCCATTCTCTTTCCCATCGATTATGAAGTATGGGCCCTTCACTTTGAAGATTATGTCCTAGTTTTAGAAGATAATGGTTACTTGATCTAGCAAGGCATTACTATTGGAGCTGTTGTTCATTCTGGAACAAGAAGGGTGATTAAAACTCAGACCGACCTCAATTGACTTCTTCTTAATGTCAAAGAAGTTCCTCAAGATGAGAGAGACAAGCTGCAGAGCAACATTAAAGCAATGAGAATCATTAGATTCGCATTACAGGCTGATACGTTTCGTCTTGTAGTTCATGTGATAGTGCCAAAGCCATATGGGACCGGCTTAAAGAGCTTTACTTGATAGACGCAGATCTGGAGCATTCTACTCAAACGCTCTTATTGTCTGAATTTAGTGCTTTCACACAAAAGGCTGATGAAAATCCGAGTCAAATGTTTAATCCTTACAATCATCTTCTAAGCAGGATGATGAAGCACGCGATTGGAAGAGAAATCATCGAGCATAAGGTAACATTCATGAATGGATTAAGGTCATAATGGATAGCAGTGGTTTCAACTGTGAAAGCTCATGAGCAGTTCAAAAATTACACCTTGGCAAAGCTCGTAGGGATCTTCAAGTCCCACAAAATTGAAGTGAGCAAAGAAACGAAATTTGTGTCTGGCATGGGTACGTTGGCTCTAGTTGCAAAAGGAAAGCAAGTTGCAGATGACGATGATTAGTTTAACTTTTCTAACTGTGAACTCACAAATGAAGAGTTCACACTAATGGTGTTGAATCCTAGGAGATTCGCAAAGAAAAAAGTTTCCCTCTAGCAAAAACCAAAATTGGTAGGGAAGCTATATTTCAGAAAAGGTGAAAGAAGATAAAGTGAATAGCTTCAAGAAGGAAGAAGATAAGAAATATAAAAAGCTTGCAGGAGATTGAGGTTATAATTGCTACTATTGTCACGGTAAGAATCATTTGGCAAAGGAATGCATGCTGAGGAGAATGAACAAGAAGAAGGATAGAGAGGATGATGAGGCGTACCTTCTTCGCAAGCTTGAGGAAATCAAGCAGAAAAAGAAAGTTGATAACGCTATGCCTACTTTGGTTGTGCAGGAAAATAATGATGAAGATGTGTTTGGTGGAGTAGAAGTGTGGTCCATTGATTCTGAGGATGAAGAAGTTAGAAAACCCACTCACGAAAAAGATTTGTGGCAAATGAAAGTGATTCGCATACGGGTGGAAAATGCTTTGTGGTGACAAATGGCATGTCACAAATGCGAGGGTATGCTACAGATAAAGGACAAGGAGAAGTGAATGGGAAAAGAGATGACAACTGCTTTGCTGCGAAGCCAATTCTTGCACAAATCAACGAATGTGATCAACTGATTAATAAGGTACATTCCATTATTGATTCTCTTAATTTTCCTGTATCTAATTATGAAACTGAATTAAACGATTTAAAATCCACATTTTCAAGTATAAGTGATAGTTTAAAACAAACAGGCCTATCAAATGCTAACCTAAGCGATCAAATCAGTAGGGTGTCATCAAAAAGTGAGGAGCGGAGGATATAGATTAAGAAGATTGAGTCTGAGCTTTCTAGGTCTAGGGACGAGTCTATTTATTTACAAAGAGACAATTTAAAGATTTTGAAACAACGTGACATTTTTTGTTTAATTGCTAAGAGGCTTTATTTTAATATCATTCAATTACATTTGGATTGTGAAATTGTTAAGAAAATTCATAAAAAATTCTGGCTATTTTTGGAATTAAAGGAAGATGAAATTGATGCTGATTGTTTTCAATGTGAATCTATTGTGTCATCAGATGAAACCTCAGAGGTTTATAAAATTGGTCTTGACAAATTGAATCATATATTTAGTCAAAAGACAACAAGGACATGGTGAGACAATTACTCGATGAAAATGATCGGTTAAAGATCAAAACCGAAACTGTATAGAAATTTGATTCATTGAGATCAAAATTGAGTTCAGACAATAAATTAAATGTTGAAAATATTTATGAATTCAATGAGGACAGTAAGATGAGTGAAATATCTGTAGAAGATGAGGTTGACTGTTTGCAATTCCTTAAAAGCAAGCATGAAAAAGCGAAAGCTCTCATTTTAGAAAATTCAATTGAATTTTCACATCTTTCTCAAAGTAATCCAAAAGTTCTAAAGGAAAATGTGACTGTCTTTCTAAAGGTCCAAACGACACCTAACCAAGTCTTCCCAGTCAATGGTGTAACTAAATGTTAAACAGTTGAACTAAAACATTTAGTTGAAACTGATAATGCTGATGGGTGTGATGAGTACTTTTGGTCCACCCCAATTGACAATGCAGATGAAACCGTAGGTCTTTTTGAAAAGACTTCCTGGAGAGTTAAAGGAAGGTATGTAGCTGAACCTCTAAATCATGTAAATGCCACCTACGAAAAGAGAAGTTCCAGTGGAACCAAGGAAAATCCCACTGATAATTCCTCAGAAGACACTCGTGTGCAAAAGACAAGGGCAAAAACAAATGTTCATAAATCAGCTAAACAGTTCGCAACACAAAAACATCAACGAAATGGCAGATACAAGAAAAATCTAAGGAAACGAAAGTAATTCTTGAAGTCAAGGAATCCTAACTATATTCATCATGAAAAGCGTTCCCATCCTCAGACGAATGTTGGATCAAATGCCAGTCCAAAAGTAAAAAGGCCTATTCACACGCTAATCGGAAAGGCATTTCTCCTCATCAATCTCACAACCCTCAGGATCCGAAGTACACAGTTCATCATAGATCCACTATCTCAAAAACCACAGCTCATTCAAATCACAAATCATCTCCCCAAACCACCTTCGTTTCTAAACCAAAAGTTTTGCACTCTTCCAAACTCTCACCATAGATTATCGCTTCCTCTCGGTTCCAATTTCTATGATGGCCACCTGGGTTTTGGATCGGATCAAACAAACCCGCCATATACGGATGTTGCAAAGCTGTTGTCACCGTTATGCTCTTCACATGATCAAACACAAGAATCCATCGCAACAAGTCCATAGAGAGAGCATCCACCGCCTGGTATAAAGAAGAAAGAGAAATCTCTCTTGTGAAAGGAACAGATTTCATAAATCTTCAATAATTTGTGTTATCGATGAACCCAATATCATCCTCCTTTTGATCCCTAAGGATGTTGATTATCAATTTAAGGTTATTTAGGCACACTATCCCTAAAAAAGCGGTTTCCGACCGAGAATTTTGGCGAAGATGTACAGAACTAACCACACAACAATGCAAGTCCCATAATTTTTGCAAGATATGAGAAGCTTTGGTGATCTGTACCACCGTGTGATGACGTATTCCATCATGAACTGTTCACTACCTTGCCTCCTTCTTGCCAACCAAAAATTGCATATTTTAAGTTCGCAATTTGCGTTCACGAGGAGATTTTTGGGTTTTAGGTTACGATGAAGGACATTAGCAGAGTGAAGATACTCCAAACCTTGAAGATATTCCAAACCTTGAAGCAACTAAAACAATCTATCAATTGATGAACAAGAATACACTAACTTAATTGGGGAAAAGAGAATTTAACTATTTATACCTAAAACAAGAAGAATTTGCAATGGTCGTTTGATAGAGGTTGTGAAGATTTGATGATATGTAGGGAAGAAGCAATACTCACCGGTGAGTTGGTACTGTTACTATCAAGGATGGAAGTGTCAATTGAAGTTGATTTTGTGAGTTTTAGTTTAAATGATCCTCAAACTTATTTTTTGGCTTTATAAGGGCATAACATGAGTTTTTTTTGGTCTAAAAGATGTACCGGCTATTAGAGGTTGAAAAAGACTAAAATGGCAGGTCGTAACCTATCTTATAACCCTATATAACCATAAGATAACTTTAAACACCAAATCGACTAACCCTAAAAATTTTATAGGACTATTGTGTTATTCCCCCCCCCCCCCCCCCCCCCCCCCCAAGATATATACATACCCAAGCTAGTAATAGTTTGATTTTCCGTATACACATCTTTTTATGTATAAGAAAAAGGAAAACCAGATATAGAAAACTGTAATATATTTATATATGTTTAAAAAAAAAATCAGTTTACGACAATTAGATAATAAACTTGACTTTCATGTCTTGCATAAGATTCAAATCCAAAAGTTTATCATGTCCTCTAAGTTGGAAACTTTAGTTTCAGTTCTATCAACTTATGGAAGAAATTTATATCCAGCCTGAAATTTAAGTGATGGAATGTGATTTCCTGATAAATTGAAGGCAAGCTTGTATGCTCACTATTGTTTTCTTTACCTGCTGCTTCAAATCATTTAAATAACTACCTAAGTTTTACATGAGCAAAATCTAAAAAGGTGTTTCAGTCTTTATATACGTTTAGGGTAAAAGGACATAGAGGTAGAATATTTATATGATTTTCATGTTCTTAATTTCATTATAGCCAGATATATTAGTAACACAACTGAGATGTGTGAGAACCTGCAAATTTTGGAAAGTAATAGGAACACATGGCTATTAACAGAAAAACAATTGGAAGTTGAGAAGGGTACTCTACTCTAGATATTATAAACCAAGCTCCGCTGTATGTAAATACAAATTATGACCATGTTATTTATATATACCTAACATTACAAGGAATAAAGTACAAGGGGCTGGACATTAATTATTTTATTAGTAAGTTGCTGAGAGTTTTCCTCTAATCAATTACACTTTAAAATTCAGAAGTTGGAATGCACCCAACTGGAAAGTTACCTCACAAAGTAGTGTGGATCTCCCAAGTCAAAAAGAAAAGCATTTAGAAAATGATATTTCTCATTAGATGCTATTACAGACTTACAGTACCAAGAAGGTCGCGACAATTCAACATCGAAAGTCATAAATGGTACCAAATTACAGCTTTAGATTCAAATCAAGTATACGTTGATATGGCTGCTGAGAAGCTGTTTGCGCATCCAAATAAAAACCTCCAGGCCATTTAAGTTCCACTGCTTCCTCCCCATCATAAGGCTGCATCCTTACTCCATATCTGGCACCATCATCGGTAAACCTTGCTACAGTTGTTTCTCCATTTTTGGTTGGTGTGTGAACAAGAGAGTGGGCATGAACGCCAAGTGATCGGTTACCTGTGAAATTTAGGGCAAAGTCGGTTGTCTTTGGTGAATGGTATCTTCGAGCTGCTTCTCTCTCCCTCTTGTGGGCATTTTGATGACCACCTAATGCTTGCGAGTTGTAGAACTTCCTCTTGCAGAAGTTGCATGTATATACCTTCGTGGGTCTTGATTGGGAACTCTCACCTAGATTTTGTCCTAGGCTTAGATTCAACCACCCTCTTTGATAATCACCTGGGTTTTCTTGATTTATATCGTCCCTGATATTCATTGAAACTATAGTTTGGGAATCCGATATTAGATGTTTTTCTTGAGAGAGTGTTTTTGGATCAAAGAGTACATGAGGAAAAAGAAGCTATATAGAAAGGGTAGGAAAAGAGGATGTTAAGTGCTCTCTCTCTCACACACACATAAGATACACACATACATAAATGACGATGTCGTATATCTTAAATGTCCCCACCAAGTGATGCTTGATGTTGTTGAGGGGACACTCCTCTTGTACCTTTCAAGCATTTGTATTCCTCCACTTTTTTATTGTGTAGTGCATTTTCTCGATCAGACTCACGAACTTTACATGGTTCTCTTTGAGAACAACTAAAGATGTATACAACTGACACAAATAGATCTTTCTCATCTTTCCAATTATGGTCCTGTCAAAAAATCTTTGCATTTTTTTTTCGACTTTCATATTCAACAAAATAATCATTTATTTCATACTTTTGCAATTAGGTAACTACTGTTACCCTTTTGAAAAGTATAATATAATCATTACAGTAACATGATTTCCATTTTTCCATTTCTTTTTCATGCATGAATTCGTCGTTGTTACTTGCTGTAAAGTATCATGTTAATATTTCAGCTAGAGTTTTTAACGTTTTTAAAACAAAAGCTTGACTCAAGTTGTCTTCAACAGCGCACAGGTGCTTTAATTTATTTGTTGCTGTATTTGCCAGTGTATTTTGTATAGTAATACAAGAGGGTAATATGGCAAGTGGATGATGTGTCATTTGTGTATACAGTAGGAGTCCATTGAAAACCACTTGTACCTTATCCTCTTTCTTAAGAAAATTTTAGTCAAACACGTGACAGTAGTAGCACCATTTCCAATTTAAAATATGTAGAAAGCATTAGAAAGAGGAATTTACAGTATGGGTTTGTACAACAAGCTTTCACCTGGGCAAATATCAAATCAAAAGATTAAAGGTGAGCGTTTGATTCACCTTTTGATTGTAGCATCTCACCAAACATGTAATTAAAGTTAGCAACCCACTTTGAATAAACTATATCATTATAGGGTTCCTATACCATAAAGCAATGCTAGTGCATGTACATAAAGTGAACCTTCCTAAGTGACACTTGGTGGCTTCTATTCATTTGACCTCTCATTGATTAGTACCATCATCTATGAGCTTTGTGCATGATTTCGGTGATTGGACAAACACACACACAAATGCATTAAATTACAACCTTAGATTCAAGTCGAGGATATGTTCATTTGACGACTGAGAAGTTGGTTGTGGATCTAATTAAACACCTCCACGCCACTTGATCATTTCCACTAGTTGCTCCACATAGTGTTGCATATGTATGGCTCTGTCTAGTGGCAGACCGAGAACAAAGTCTAATCGGGTTCCAATCTAAATTGTGATTGGATTCATGTTATTTCTATGGTATTCCAAGCCACAAACTCAAATATATTACATAATGTTTTAAAAGTATGATAGTTAAGTGGGGCCAAACACCACATTTAGGTTGGCTTGTATCTGCTAATGTCCATGCCATACACTAATGTTAGCAAACCTTGCAATAGTTGGTTTACCATGTGGTATGTGCACAAATAAGTAAGCATGCACCTGAAAATATAGGTTTAGCGGGGGACTTATTGTTAATACACCATCATTGGTGCTTCAATCCTTTTTGTTGTCTCTTTCTCCTTCCCGTGGGCATTCTGATGACCACCTAATGCTTGTCAATGTAGGAAATTATTTTGCAAAAGTTGCATGCATAAACCTTCATAGAGGCTACTCTTGACTATAAAATAGTGTCTCGTCGATTTTGTCTTAGGATAAGATCTAGACATCCAATTTTATGAGTACCGAAATATGCTTCCCATTTTATGAGTACCGAAATATGCTTGTTAAGAATCGATGACGTTGTTGAACTATTTCTCATCAAATTCAATACAATTTCATGTAAATAGAATGATGATCAAGATAACAACTTACTTGTTGTATGAAGCGAATGAAAAATTGTTCTCTTTGAATAAATTTACCACATACTTATTAATTACATCTTATGGGATAATCAACATGAGGTCCCTTCCGTCTTTGTTATCACTGTTGGCTTTTATTCAAAAATTGGTTTCTAAAAATATAAGAAACAACAACGGAAGCTTTAAAATGTTGCAATAAACTTAAAACTATTTTAACTATCAATGATCATTTTGAAAACATGGAAAGATTAAAACAATCATAGAAAGGAAATAATACAAGCTTTGAAGTCTTCTAATTCTCTTGCGAGGTTGAAAGTTGATCAAGAACGTAGAGTAGAACTCCACCTTAGTAGAAACACCAAAAAATTGTCAACTTGAAATTGATGCTAGCCCTTCATCTAATAATAATAACAGTATTAAGCCTATAAAAAAACAAAGTTTTTGTCTTAAATGAAAGTTCAAGTAAAGTAATAAACATGCATCTTATAATTTAACCATTTAAGTGATAAAACTAGACAGAGTATGGAGAGAAGTAGAAAATTCAATTTTCTCTTCTTGAAAAATCCACAATTAAAAGTCTTCTTAAACACCTTTAAAACTAGATAATAACCATTGTATTTTGTTACTTTAAACACCATGTTTCTAGTAACAAAATCCAACAAAAAAGGTGTACAATTTCTACATTAAACAACTATAATTTCTTGCTCTCTTTTTACCTCTTGTATTCAAGAAAATAAGAAGCAAAAGTGAAAGAAAAATGGCAGCCCTCATTTAATATATATGAAGTTATAAAATCGTTTTCAAAAACTTATAATATTGATACCTTGTCCCTCATGCCCATGCTTGATCATTACCAAGTACACTTGCTTCCAAAACATGTCACCTTCATTATAATAAACATTAAGGACAAAGGAAGCTAGTGTTTTTCATTTCTCCAAGTTTATTGACAATCAAAACTAGAGAAAGAAAGGCTTCTTGTTTCATTATTCTTTCATTTATGGGTCATGTATATATAATTTATATAGCAAAACCTTATATATATATATATATATATATATATATATATATATATATATATATATATATATATATATATATATAGGGAAGAGTTATATGGAAAATGAATGATTAGAGCAACACATATTTGAACCAATGAAAACATGACAACACATCACTTCTACAATAACTTCAACAATACATTACTTGTGAAGAAAGAAATAGACACATGTCATTTGATTATTGGTTCCGGTAGATGTTGCCCTAGTTATTTGTTTTCCATAGAACTCATTCCTATATATATATATATATATATATTATATATATATATATATATGTATGTATAAGGATGTACAACACTTATATAAATCAATCCTTATGATTTTATTTTGATACTTGTTATTGAGATTTATTATTTTTATAATAAAAATAATTTCCAATTTGTTACAATAGTATAAATATTTATTATGAATCAAATTCTTATATGTGCATCCAATTTTCTAAAAGCTTAAATCTTTAACTAATGTATAAGGTAAAGTTTATCAGTTATTCCTTTATTATAGACTTGTTGAACATGAGATATAGATCGTAATCAATATAATTAGGTGTTTAATTTTTGGTAACACACGTTAGATGTCTAACACTCAACACATAAAACGAACAAATCATATATTAAATACATATGCATCTTGTATAGTTCATACAATACCTAATAATGGACTTTATAACTTCCTGTATAAAGATCAACACTTAACTATCTCAAAGTTTTACATTCCCTATACTTAAGTCCCATATATGTATCTTATATATTAAGGCACTAAGATAGTACTCTTATCAAGTATCACTCATGATTTTGATCCATGGCGTGATAACAAAACGAGTCATGTCACATACTTGTTCTCTAGAAGTACCTTTGATTCTTTGTTGCAATGTTGTGTCTACTTTCATCTAATGAAAGTCAACCAATTTTATTCATATTAGTTTTCCCTCATAATTATTCCCACAATTATGATTAACTATCGACTTTTAAAATAACTACGTTATTCATAGATTAAAAATGTTAATATAGAATACAACAAGTATTAAATTATAGATCATATCCTAATATATCAAAAAAAAAAAAAAATTAATGTCACAATGTTCTAACATCCAAGTACAAAATCCAAATCAAATCCCGTCTCTAGAACAACGAAGTCTTATAGCTGAAGTGTGAACTTTCATGCTTAGCTTATGAAAGTGTAACACCAATTTCTAGGTATATACTTATTTGTTGTTGTTGTTGTTATGATTTTTTAAAGTCTAAGGATGGAATTTTGTTGGCCATGATGTGGAAATGTTAGTTCCATGATATGGAAGTGGTCTAGGAAGACGTGCATTTCATTTGAGTCCCATGACATTACGATATATTAGTCATGATGTAGTGTTGCAAGCATGCTAAACCCTACTGCTGGGGTTTGTGACCCTATTTAAGGGAAGTGGGGGCTAGGGTTTGCACACCCTCAACCTCCATCACCTCCCTTTCCCCCTCAAGTCCATTTTGACATTTGAGAGCTTTTAGGGGAGTTTTGGTGAGAATAAGAAGAGGGGAGTTTTGGTGAGCAGAATAAGAATAATAAGTCCTTTGTGAGAAGTTCCAACATCCAAGTTTCTACTCTACCTCCAAGCTCATCTTTTTGACCATTGTAAGTCTTCAAGTGCCAAAGTTTATGATTCATGCTTCTAGATGTAGAGTTCTTTGTTTTGTTCTTCATGTTTGTGTTAGTTGGTATGGTTGGAATCCATAAAGTTAGGAAATTTATGGATCCTAGAGATCCTCTTTTGATTATATGTCCTAGATCTGAAGAATGAGTGAGTTTTGAATCCTTTCATGACATTTTGATCTCAGTTTCTTCATTTTTTTTTACCTAACTAGAGTTTAAGACATGCATTGGACATTCATTTTTATAAAGCACCATTTTTTATGATGCTTTGAGAGTACGAATGCCTTCTGGAAAGTATGGATGAATGGCCTTGATGATTAAGAGCTTGATGCGTTAAAAATCTCTCCACATCATGGCGAA